AAATGCATCACGTCCATGCAGGAATGCAAACATTCGTTGACTAACATCGAAGACATCAATACCCCCGAAGAACAACCCCTGGGCTAATTAAAACGCTTTGTCGCATCCGATGCTGTCCCCGGCAATCGCCTCCCTGGTTAAGACCTCGAACCTTTTGACGCCAAGGCATACCCAGTTATGGGTATAGCAGCATGATGAAACCGAGCCGGGTTCAGACAGCGCCGCCAGATCCTGGAGGGTACATATGTGATGGTGTTTCGGGTTGTTAGCATCAAGCACAAGATGAGGTCTACTAGTGGCCAGTGTTTGCGTGTTTGCACATGTCCATCAAACCTGGATTGTTGACGTTGATTTGAAAGGCTTCGGACGGCCAGGGATGCAGAGTCTTGAACGTGGGTCCATTGGCGGTTGAAGGCAACCATTCAAGCAGTGCATTGTACTGCCGCAACAAGTATGACTATCTTTCCGGGTTCCACATCTGACACAACCGTTCGCATTTGAAAACGTCAAGACCGGAAACACATTATGTGTAGAAGCTAGCCGTGCTGAAAAGTGTTCAAGGTGAGACCCGGATTGCACTGCTTGGTTGCACAAGCTGAGAACACAAGACCCGTGTCCGGGTGGTGATTATCATCGGGAGTGGACTGATGTACGACACAGCGATTCCATTTACAACAATCCGGCCCCTTGATGCCAAGCTTGCGGGGGTCAAGTCAATTTGGTTAAAACTGTTTTACAAATGCACGACCACATGACCTTGCGAGACACAAAATCCACTTAATTAACGCATGTGAGCCAAGTGGCATGGCTCCAGCATGCCGTGCTGTCAGTGTTCATCATTCTAGCAGATTCTAGCACAACCACAGAATATACATAGAGAAAAAACATAGGGCCACTGCCCGCCAGAAACGACAAACTATGGCATCGACGAGACTACGGGGAGACTTCAAACTTGATTGTATGACGTATGACTGTATTGACTGCTGCAGCTCTGGCAGACAAATCTCGAATCGTGTCTATCAATCACAGACTTGCGAGAGCCGGCAGCCAACAATGAGGTAAGTGGCACCATGGCTGATTGCCGTTCTCCATGCTGGATCTGCGAGTCAGCATAGTGCCCTGACGACCTGCAAAATCCCTTGGCCGAATCCCGAAAATAGCTGCTTCACAAAAACCCAGGGGCTCAGGGGCCCCTGGCCAGCTTCACGAACAGCTTTATTCCACTACGTCTTTGGTCTGCCGAAAGTTGCATGCTTGACGTTTCGGATTCCTTGCTGGAGCACTTCCAGAGTTACACTAATTTGACATTGAACAGGCATTTCATCCGGACCAATTCTTCCGCGACTTCCGCTTGTCCCAGGAGAAACCATGGCCTTGAATACACCGGATCTTTGAACGAGCATCGTGCTACTAGACCCAAGAGTCACCTAGGAACTAAAAGGGTGCCCTTTTTGGCTTAAAGGGGCTTATAAGGGAACCTGAACCCTGACAAAGGGAATCAGGGTCTGCTCTAGGTGCTAGGTTGAGTGGGACTCGGGGCTTCGGGCACAACTATCTATCCGTCAAGGAGACCTGAAGCTCAGACTGTCGGAGCTATGCTCAACCCTGGTGTAATATATATATGTATATATATATATATATATATATACATAAATATATATATATATATATATATACCGATAGGGCTCGACTGGCCGCAGCAGCGCGGAACTATCGGTAGCCCCAGTGCCATGGAAGGCACGCCTTCGCCTGATGCCGCGCTTGCGAGGCGGCATGCAGATCTTTGACAAGACCCTGACAGGCAAGACGATTACGTTGGACGTTGAGGCCAGTGGCACGTTCGACAAAGTCAATGCGAAGTCCCAAATTAAGGCAGACATCCCGCCCGACCAGCAGCACCTGATCTTTGCTGGCAGGCAGTTTGAGTGCGGCCGTACTCTTTCGGATTACAACCTGCAGAAGGAATCGACCCTTCACTTGGCGCCGCACATGCGAGGCGGCATGCAGATCTTTTTCAAGATCCTGACGCTCACCTTGGACGTTGAGGCCAGTGGCACGTTCGACAGTGTCAAGGCGCAGTCCCAAGATAAGGCAGGGCCTACTGGGAATGAGAAGCCTTGCGTCGGCAGCTTCCTCAACGAGTACTTTGGGGCGCTCGGCGCTGTGACGGCCTGCTGGTGCTTACAAGCTGGTCATGTCTACTTACATGGACTCTTCATCAAACATACTACCCCGGAGATTGCTTTCAGCAGAAGTCTCATTTTCAATGCTTTTGTTCTGTGCGTCTTTGACGTGTTTTGCGTCAACGGGTTCGTCAAGCAGGCAGACTCCGTCCAGAAGAGTGGCGGAACTTGTGAGGGCTGTGCTGGCATCGGCCATAACGGCGAGGATGTAGCATGTTCTCTGAGCGTGGTCGCTGCGGATGCTGATTTAGTCAATGTGGGAGCTGGCCTGGGGACAACCATCGCCGGCTTCTGCATGCTGGTTGGCATCTGTTGGGAGAAAGTTTATGAAACTCAGCCTTCGAGAAGGAGCCAGACAGTGTTTTGCATAGCGGAAGCCGCGTACATTGCCACTATGCTTTTCTTGAGTACGGCTCACAGTCAGTGCACTTCATATCGAGTGTGAAGGCACTTCTATGAACATGCGGGCATGGCCATTTGAATACGCCATGCGGGGCCTGAAGCTTGCAGTTTGCCTCTCTGCCCCATGGGGAACAAGGCTCAAGCTTTTAGCGTTTCTGTTATGATGTCAATATATCACCTCCAAAGAAGGTGTTCCGGCATCTCGGGTATGTCGTTACATAGTTGTGTTGTGCAGGGATTGCCTCATTCATACCCATGAGGAATATCCTGCGCAGTTGTTGGCCTGCTTCGCATTGCGCGTTGAAGCTTCATTTCGACTTCTTGTGCAGCTCATGCGCACATTATGGTGCGGCATCCTTTTGATTTTGGGTGTGAAGTGTTGCTAGTGCTACGGTTTTTCAGCTCTGTGCTACCGGTTTCATGCACTGCATCTTGCACACCTCACTGTGCGATCGCCCAGATTACTGCACCGCGCACTGCTGAGTAGTTCGCGAGCGCAAACTGGGGATTGTTACACTTCATTTTAATTAATGCACGCCAAAGGGCTGCAGCCTAACAGGAGCCTGTGCCCCAAATGCGAGAAATGCGAGATATATACCGATAATTAAAATAGGGTTCCCTTTAAAGGGGGTTCTATATGGGTTACTATCACGGTTTAGTATAGGGACCTTGAAAATAGAATGGGGCTTTGGGGCCCACTATACTATCATTATAATAAGGAATCCCCAGAATAGTATCGGTAATTAAATATTAAGGCCCCGTATTCAAGCAACACCCTAAGGGTCCATGTACTCATATAGTATATACATAGGCCTTAAAGTAGTCCCTATGTAGATACTTTTGGGCAAAAGTATATACTAATTGGGTACATGGACCCTGAGGGACACCTGTGACCAAAACCTTGTACCTGGTTTTCTAGACATCTGGTCCAAAGCCTTAAACCCCAAACCCCATGCCCTATACCTTAGACCCTGAAGCACCCTACACTGTCTCCCTGGCAGCAGCATGGTCGAAACCGCAACGGTTTGGATTCTCGAGCAAGTGAAGTCTTCAGCAGCCGAGGATTCATTGTTTGGAAGCCATGTCTCTGCGTAGGCCCAGACATTTCACCTTAACCCTACAGGCACATGCAAGGAACAGGCCGCCCTTGGGACGGTAGGGTAGGGCAGCTTCTTCTGCTAATCTTACACGTCTTCGTCGAATGAATAGGGACGTACATGTTTGCAGTCTGCAGCAACGCCATGTTTAGGGTTTAGGGTCGCTGTTGTTGTTGCTGCCGTTAATGATGACGATGGCGATGGTGGTGATGATGGCGACAAAGGTCACGCTCGTTGGCGCCAAACTCTGAGCAAGCGCAAGAAGACAGCATCATAAAAGTTACAGCCAAACCCGTTGCGGCAGGAAGACTCGTTGTAGGCCACTGTAGGATGCCTCAAATAAGATATGTGATGACGGATGTCCACAGCTGCAAGTTGGCACAACCCAAATGATAACGAACCCCAGCCCTAAGGGTCCAAGTAGTTCCTATTTATGGTTTTTGGTGCCTAAAAAGGCCTTACAGTCCTATAACAGGGAGTACTTGGACCCTCTGGGCAAGCACACAACCCCAAACCAGAAGCTTTGTATACCGAGGCCTAGCTCTGGGCTGCCCGGAACACAGAGATATTCAGCCCGATCCCCAAGAGCCCAATACCCCATAACTAAGGAATATAGCTTAAAATATAAGGGGCTTCATATTATGATTTAAGCTATCTTCCTGAATTTAGGGGTATTGGGCTCTCTGGGGTATTCAGCCCGATAAGACTGGAAACCGAAGTTTCCCCAATCCTTGGCACCGAATCGTCTGTATAAAACGGCAGAATTCGTCTCCAGGGACCCCGAACCCTAAACCCTAAGGTTTAGGGTTTAGGGTTCAGGGTTTATAGGGCTTAGGGTTTAGGGAGTTTAGGGTTCAGGGCTTTACCACGTCCGGTTTGTGAGTTTTGAGGTTCGGAGCTCGCAACCGCAGTGCTGGATGCAGGTATGCTTGGCATCTGCTTCTGGGATGTACTTCCCTAAGGGTCCAAAGAACCCAATAATTAGGTACTGGGTTTTAGGATATTAGTTATGCAGGTTAGTATTTGGGAAAGAATATGATTATTAGGTACTTGGACCCTTAGGGCTTAGGAGCTTGAAGCAATCACGGGAACATCGTACTTCGCCGTGCCCACAAGCCCCGAAACCTCAATGCAAAAACGAGGCCTACACCATTGCTTAGGCTGTCCCTAACGGCAAACCCTAAACCCTAAATCGTAAACCTCTGAACCCTGAACCCTAATCCGCAAACGCTAAAACCTTAGCCCTGATATCCTGAAGAAGGGCAGCGTCCTGCTTCATGCGACGGGCGGGTGTCGAACTTCATCTTTACAGACGCTGTCAGGAAGTGAGATGTTGTAAACCTTGGGGGGGGGATTAGGGTTTAAGGCTTGGGCCTGAGATGGCTGTAAATCGGCTGTATTGGGGTTCTACCAGGGGGTGCTGCGAGGCCTTTGCCGGCTGCAGAGTCTAAGCCTTCTAAGCCTAATCCCTAAACCCTAAACCCTAAACCCTAAAACCCTAAACCCTAAACAAAAGCGTTCGATGCTTGTGCCCCCGGCTCTCGGAGCGCAGATCCCAACACCGAACCCAGCCCAACCGAAGCCTTTCGCACTGAACCCCAAACCCTAAACATGCGAAACACCAGACGGTTTAGGGTTTAGGGTTTAGGGTTTTGGGTTTAGGGTTTAGGGTGCGAAACACCAGACGGTTTTCTCTAGACTTTCCGCTGAACTGCCCTAAGCCGAAAGAACTGCATAAAACCAGTGGCATTCGCTTCTGTTCCACAGTCTCCGGGCACCGAACTTTAACACTACCACTCCAATAGTAAGAAAGGGCAAGGGGTACTACGGGAGGTAGAAACCCTCCTCGCGCAAATCATAGAACCTCTGATAAAGGGATCTATAAGGGATCCTTCAAGGGACATATACGAGATGAGGGCTGTTTAGGGTTTAGGGCTTCTATCTTACAGGGTTTGGGGTTGCAGGTAAACCCTACAACACGAAACAATCTTCAGAGAGACCCTGCACCCCGAAGCGTCAACACGTCAAGCTTCGGGTTCAGGGCTTTTGGGGTGTACAGGGTTTGTAGGGTTTATAGGAACTTCAAGGTTTACAGGGCTCATGCAAGGCTTATGGGGTTTAGGGCAGCTTAGGGTTTCGGGGTCTGTGAGCAGTACATGCAGAGCTACGCAACACAAACCCTTCAGCCCATTCGTTCAGGGTTTAGGTTAATTCAGCGGCTTGAAGAACTGCAGTACCGATATTATTCCGTACTTAAAGGATCATGGGACTTAGTAACTAAGGTTATAAGTAGGATAACTCTACTTATAATCCCAATTAGGGTACTTATAACCTTACTTACTAGCTAAGTCCCATGATCCTCCAAGTAGACCCTAAACCCTAAACCCTATAGATCCCTTTATAAGGAACCCTATAGATCCCTTTAAGGAGACCCGAAAGCCCTAAACGGGTCAACCCGCCAAACCGCCAAAGCAAACACTCTCAGACCAGGCGGCAGATCAGGGCACACAGCACTAGGCCGACCTACGCTCTTCTTTTGCAAGCTCCGTTTCAGGGTTCCTTCAAAGGGTACTATAGGGGTTCCTTTAAGGGATCTATAGGGTTCCTAGATAGGGTACTATAAGGGTGCCTTTAAGGGATCTATGGAGGTTTGGGGTTATGGCGTTGGGAGTTTAGTTCTTTAGGGTTTCGGGCTTCAGGCTTTAGCGTCAGTTGGAGGATGAGGTTTGGGATGGTAAGCGTTGCTCAAAGTTTTGTCCGGTTTTTCAGGGCTTGGACATTGTAGAATAAAGGGGCTTTTGGTGAGGGTCCAGTGACCAGCTCGCAGCATTGCAAGGAAGGGTCCAGAGGGAAGGTTTGGGGCTTCGGTGAGGATTTCGTCAAGTAGGGTTGATAGGCATGTTCGGCTTCAGGGCTTCAAGGTTCAGGATAAAGCATAAGTTGAGCTTGTGTGAGAGGCTTCAGGCTCTCAAGGTTTCAGGTCGGGAACAGGACCCCAAACCCAGAAATATCCGTCCACCAATAGGATCCCGCATGAAGAGCAGTCCTGAGTCCTAAACACTTTTTACAGACTCTTCTTTACAGACTCTTGAATGTAGACCCTCAGCTAAAAATCCCCACTCCCATGTTCAGGAAAATTACAAGGATCCTAGTATTCCCGAACGCGTGGACCAGTTACTGCGCAAACCCATATGAACAACAAACACCCTGGTTCCTCTTATGCTATACTTTCGTGCAGAAGTCATAGAAAACGACCTAATGATTTGTTTCGGCCCTACCCAGGAACACCTGTACAGAAAGACCCTGAACCCGTGAACCCCCAAACCTCAAACTCTCCACAAATGAAGTTGTCGCACTCAGACATATCTGTAACTGGGATCGGGACGTCCGCCTGCGGTGCAATGCGGAGTCGAAAGATAGTGCCTCGCTCTGAAGAAAAGGGCTTAGGGTTAACGGGATACTCGTAGTCTGATTGCAGGTTCCATTTGGATCCGGTGTTTGCAGTGTTTCATTCACGGGGTGTTTGAGGTCTTACAAGAAGTCGAGGGCGATTGGGGCTTAGGGGTTTATAAACATGAACACCCAAGACAAGCTCCGTGCAAAACTGACATGTTCAGAAACTAGACACGGCTCCTGGAAAAATGTGTTTTAGTCGATCTGCCCATTCTCTTCTCAAAGGGGGATCTGGGAAAACAACCCGCCCTGGCTCAAAACCACCTTAAACCTTGAAGCTGCAAAGCCCTAAACCCTAAACCCCGCTAAAACCCTACGTTAAACCCTATAGGACCCTAATAGAACCCTTGTCGTACCGTAGAACCCTTGCAGGACCCTCGTAACACAGACCATTTAGTGGAACCGCAACAGAGACCTCTGAAACCCCCAGCCCAAAACCATAAACCCGTAAACCCCTAAACCCTAAACCCGTAAACCCCTAAACCCCTAAACCTTAAACCCTAAACCCCAAAACCATAAACCCGTAAACCCCTAAACCCAAAGCCTTAACCCTTCAACCCAAAAGGCCCAAAACCCTATCACCCCAAATTCTTAAACCCTGCAACCCTAAAAACCCACAGCACTATGTCAAGGTGTCTTGTGGGCTAGGGTTACTTTTAAGTTGTTGCTTCATGAAGGGCTCCTTCTAAGGGTTACTGGCTGCCTTGAGGGCTCCTCTCTCTCTCTCTCTCTCTCTCTACCGGCCTGGTGCATGGCCCAGTGGACCTGATACAGAGCTACTGAAGCTCTCAGGGTTCAGGGTTTAGGAAACCTGACACAAAGCCAGGGCATTTAGGGTGGTGTGAAGTGTGAAGCTACGTAGTTGAATTTATGCTTCACAAACTGACGCGAACTTTGTACAAGTCTTATACTGGGTTTGATAAGGCTGTATGTGCTATGTGGTTTTAGAGGGGGTTTATCAGAAACTGTGCAAAGGATTTGTCGACTCACTAAGGGGGCTTTTCTTCGTGAATGATAAAGACATCACAGTTTGGGGAATGTTCGACCTTGATGCGGTGAGGTTCTGAATTCGTGGGGAGCCGGCTTCGGATCATTCCCTAAGAGCCCAGTTGTTTGCCTGTACTGGTGATTACTGCCCCATGAGCTCTACATCAACCTCATCGCCCCCACAACCCTGGAACTGACTACCTATACATCTGTATTTTCATACATATATGCATCTATACATATATACATAATCTTTTGTTTATACACACGGAAGGGTCGACAGTCGACCGCCCTCCAGACATATGTATGTATGTATGTATGTATGGGGACCTGTGCTACTAGGGATTGCTACCTCTCCGAACCTGACAAGCCTGTGAAGCCTCCTCGAAAGATTCCATGCCTCGTGTAGGTTTGAAGTCTCTAGGTTGGGAAACCACCTAGACCCTCCATCTACCCTCTGAGACCCTAAATGCCCCTTCTTTGGGACCCTATACCCCTATTTGAGGGTACAAGGAGGGTTCTGGCAGGTCTGGTGCTTGAAGGGCTGATAACCGCAGTTCAGGGCTTCGGGTTTAAGGGGTTGTGCTTCCAGAGGCTTAGGGTTCGAGACCATACGGCTTGGGGGCTTAGGGTGGTGTCGGGTTTAGGGTTCAATATCATATAATATAATGTATTGTAATATTATATATATATATATATATATATATATGTATATATATATATATATAATGATATAACTAATCATAAAATAGCCCTCAACACCTAAACGCAAAGGGTCCGAACTCGCGAGTTTAGGCTTTCGGAAACCCCTTTGTAGCCGCCTGCTGTCCGAACAGGCTCCGTGGTGGCTAAGAGGCCACCCTGACGATGGGAAGGGTGCTGAACTTGAGGGTTCATATCGGGTTTAGGGTGAAGGGTTTAGGGTTTATAAACACTTAAAGGATCATGGGACTTAGTAACTGTAACTATACTTATAACCCCAAATAAGGTACGTATAACCTTACTTACTAAGTCCCATGATCCAAGTAGGGGTTGTACTATAATTAAATCAAGGAACCCCCCAAAAAATAGTACTGATAATTATTCAGGGCAATATATCATATGGCATGAACAAGGTGCCCAAAAGGGCTTTATGCGGCTGCATAGAGGCTTTGTAAGATGCAGGATGAGGAATTTCTATCAGGGTTGTTTTATGAAGTAAGCGAACCACAAGGGTTCTGAAGGTTTCAAGTTAAACCTTAAGGGAGAGAGAGCTGTTGATGATGGAGATGATGACGAAGTTTCTCTTTGAACCCCAGAAAGGGGACTGCCACATGCCAACAACCAACATTCTCAAAGGCCAAAGCGTTCTCCCAGTGTTCGCGATTCCGAACTCGTGCACGCACCATGCGAACTACGACTACTTCTGTTGATACATCTAGTCACTACTGGTACTGCTACTACTGCTACTGCGACTGTGTCCAGTGACTCAGTCTTTTGCACAATCTGCTATACATTGCCACAGGGAGTGATCGAGTTCGGGGCAAGTCATAGGAAAGCTACAATGATCTTCGATCCCACGATGCCGGAAGCTTCAGACACTGGTCGAATATTAATGGGCGTGACCACTTGTCAGCTACTGCCACATGGGTGGTTGTTGTCAAAATTATGGCCCCTTGTTGGTACCTAATATAATACGGCACCTACTATTTAGGGTACCCAAAAAGGGACCCTAGTTTTGACAACTACACACATGAGGGAGTCTTTCAGGACCCTCCATTGGTCTCATGTTCATGTCTCGTGGTGCCACAGATCTCCTAACATCCTTCGATATCGCCGTGCGAAGTCTTCCTGGGATCTTCATGTCAATGGACTATACACGGCTCGCTACCACGAGCATCGCAAAACGTAAGCACTGAAGCCCTCAACAGACATTCACGACACGCCCTGCACCGCGACCTTGAGGCTGAAACATACATACGAGGAAATGCTCAGGGACATTCATTGGTACTATGCCTTCGCTACCCCTTCCGGGCTACCTCCTTAAGACCCAAGTGCCTAAACCCTGAAAACCTAGAGCCCTAAAACCCTGCTAAACCCAAAATAGGGGGGCTCATCACCTGCCCGTCCGGCCCGTCCGTGAAGTTCAGCGCGTTGTGCCGAACAGATCCAGCCCTCCCAGGGGATGTTGGTTTTGGGGGTTTAGGGTTTAGGGTCTGTTCTTAGGGCTTCGTTGTTGAGAGAAGCGTTTCGCTTTTATAACTAGTGATTCTAGTGCAAAGATCTGAGGTCTTGGGGCTTATAGGGTTCATGGCTTGAAGATGACGGGCGCTTGGGTTTAGGTGGTGAGGGTCCAGGGTTTACGCAGTCGGCGCTCGAACTGAGGCTTTCTTTCGGGAGGATCGCAGGGTGTGGAGGCTTGGGGTTTCGGGTTGCGGAGCTTCGGATCTGGTTTCGATGTGTGGATTAAACGGGGTTTAGGGTTTAGGGGGTTGCGCTGCGGTTCGCGGATGGACAACGTATTTCCTAAGACATCGGCAGCCCCTCAAACCTCTGCCTCAAACTCCGAACACTCCCGTGCAGCCACAGGCCACATTTTTCATCCTAAACCTGGAACCTCAGTATTGGCAATCTGCACAATCCACGGATGTCCTGTCGAATCACCTCAATCAACCCTAAACCCTAAACCGATCCCGGAACCTGAAACCGATCTGCAACTCTGCAGCGATAAGTTCAGCTAATGCAGCCGATGTGACAGAATTGTCCTAAACTCCTAAGACCCACCCAAAACCCAAAAAAGCAACCCCGAACACTGAAAAAACCCTGTTAGTGGCCTTGAAACTTCTAGTGTCTCATGAAAAGGAACCTCTGGAGGAACACGATTAAATCAGAAAACAGACCTGACCCGCACTTAGCACTTTTAGCTGAGATCGCGGCACAGTGAACTGTCTTCCGGTCTTCGACTTAATCGTGCATTTGTCCTGACGGTTTAGGGCTTACAGGGTTTACGGTCCAGGTATACAACGGTTAGAGGGTTTAGGGTTTAGCAGCACTTTGGGGTTGACGGTACATAGAGTCAGCTACAGCTACGGCTAGCTCTATGTACTTCTTTGCCTTCTTACTCCATCCCATCCCTCACTGCAACCTACAAGTCCAAGAAACAATTGAGCCACGAGCCGAAACCCCAGAGCCGACAGTGTAAAACCCATGCCTCTACTGCAGGGCCCGTAATTTGCATACTGCTTTCCTCCCTAGAGCACCGAATCCTACGGAATGAACTCTCCTCTCGTTCCCGTTTAGCAGTAAACCCCCACGACCCACAAACTGGCCCAACACCCTGTTTTGATAGAAAGAAACCCTGTAAAGAAAACAAACTTATAAACGCTGAAGCATGCTGCAAAGCAACACCCTTTATGACGGGGCCTTGATAAGTATAATAGGGTTTTGGGGCCATTCTACTATAGTCATAATAAGGAGCCCCCCGACTATAGTATAGGTAATTATGTAGGCCGCTATGCTAAACCCCTATAATACCCCTTGTAGTAACCCTTATGGACCCCTGTAAAAGGAACCTTTAGGTAATTATTTAGGCCCCTACAGTAACACAACAGCACCAGATCGCTCCGTCCTGCTCCTCTGAGCCTTCTCTCGGTTGATATGACAGCTCGGCCCACACATCCTGCGGTCACGAGCTGCAGTAAGAGTTCAGGTTCAGGGTTTAGGGTGCAGGACTCACGGTGTAGGGTTCAGGTTTAGTTCGTATATACAAAAAGTGTATTCATTGCTGAAGCACTGCGACTGTTGGTGGAGATACAAACGCAAAGCGAGACAAAGAGAGGGGGAGAGGGATAGCAAAAGATGGAGGGTTACACCTAAACCCGAAACCCAAGGATGCTGACGCTGCTGCGAGTCGGAGACGGAGATAAGGTCCCTATACTAATTCATTGTGGTCGAAAGTGTGCTGTCCGATGATAGTGTGAAGCTGACAACTCGTCGTGCCCAACAAATTGAAAGGCGCCTTGCTGACGCAGTGCGCACCTTCATCCCTGCGAACGAGAATCAGCTGAAGTCCTGTGCACCTGCCATGTTGACTTGCTTCATCCTTGATCGCCACAATCTCCCGCCCTCATCACACCGAAACCCTACTAAAACCCTGAAGGACCCGATACTAAACCCGTCTGTCAACTCTCATAGCTCCCCTTGACAAGAAATGCCAATTCTAAGTACGAAGGGCCCTATCTATGTATCTATCTATCTACCTACCATATGTGTACATAGATATGTGCATGTATGTAACTCTCTCGCTTTCTCTATATATATATATATATATGTGTGTGTGTGTGTGTATGCCCGCGACCCCGGGGGTCCCCCTTCGAAGATACAAGCTCGAAGTCGATGGCATTGGGCATGCTGCTGGGAAGAGAAGACCTTTGGGTTCAGGCTCGGGTTTGGGGCTTTAGGGGGTTTAGGGGTTCCTCTAAAGGGTTCTATGAAGGGATCTATAGCGGTTTGGAGGTTTGGGTTAAGGGGTTTAGGGCGTAGGTTTAGGGTTCATAGGCTCCATTTCTGTGGATGTCGGGCTTTCGACTTTGGCGTTCAGGGTGTGGGGGGGAGAAGACCTGTGGGCTTCGAGCTCCAGATTTTGGAGCTCACGATTTGGTTTGGGAGTTTAGGGTGCAGGGGGTTAAGATACGCTTGATGATATAAATCCTGCATGACCCATAATAAGGAATGTACCATATTTACCATAATTTAGGGTCCTTAAGGTAATGCAGGATTTATATCATCAACCGTAGTATACCACAGTAGCCCTTATAGAACTGTCATGGTCACCCTTATTGCAACGACTCTGGAGAACGCCTAGGATTTATGCAGGCTTCACGATGGTATTAGATTCTAAATGCAACTAGAGTTTTCAGACTTCCGACAGAACGTTGAGTGTTTCCCGTTTAGGACCTTAGGACCCATAAGTGACGAGAATGCCGCAGGAGCCAGAAAGTTGGGAAATCGGCATCCTCATGCCCTAAATGAACCCTAAGCCCCCCCGGTAGAATCACCCGCAGTCTCATCACTGAAAAGCTATTGGCATAAGAGCATGTCGGTACATTTTTGTCACAGCGGCTTGGACTTGCCCAGTCAAGCTGTAAGTGTCTTAACTGGGGTAAAAGCTACAAGAAATAGAACGACAGATACTTGCCCTACTTCTAACCCTACTTCGTTTTGTCCTGTGACCTTTCGAGTAAGACTTCGCGCCTAGGGGCAGGGCTCCTGTTGAGTTGAAGGCGGGCTTTTCAGTATTTAGGATCTATGAACATCGGGTGTGTGAGTGCTTGTGGGGCACGCCATCATGTCTTTACCTCTTCATGAAGAGGCCTTGTTATTCACCAGACACCTGTCTTGATCTGTGGACTTTGGGGTTAAGGGTTTAGGGTAGGGTTTTCCCTATCAGTCTATAAGATTGAACAAGTTATGAGGGAGCCACAAGGCAACACTAGGTTGCTATTCAATGACATTTAAGTTTCAGGATTATCCTTGTTCTTCCAAGGGCCCGCACTGAGCTCTGCCACATTTCGCGAGGACAACGCCGTCCTGCACGTCAACTGCCAAAACAATCCGTCGATACCAATAGTGGCAGTAGTAGCACCAAGACAAGCAGCAGCAGCAGCAGCAGCAGCAGCAGCAGCAGCAGCAGCAGCAGCAGCACCACCACCACCAGCAATACTCACGCGCAGTCACAGACTGAACTGGTAGCAATTTCAGCAATGGCCAGAAGTACTGTTAATAGCAGAAAACACGTTAACAAAAGTAATCCTCTGCTAAAGCCGCAAATGTTGCAACAAGGTGTCCCGTTGATTTTGTGACTCTCACTCTTGGCCGCATCCTGGTCCCAGGGTGGAGGATAAAAACCTAGCAGTGGCTACAGGGCCAGGTCGTGTTATCGCCCATAGCCTACTGTGGAGGTCCCGCATGGGATGCCGCACCACTGCGGAATGCCTGCCCTAAGGCCCTAAGGATCCACGTAGTCATATTGTATATACATTGGGCTTAAAGTAGTCCGTATACAGGTACTTGTGGGCCAAAGTTTATACTAGTTGGGTACATAGACCCTTAGGGTGGGTGCTGCCGATCCCGAAACCCTCAGCCTGTTATGATTTCTGATTTTCATGTCATTTTAGGGTTTAGGGTTTAGGGGCTTAGGGTTTAGGTTTGTGCACCACGAAACTTTTGGGCCGGTTTCGAAGAGGATTTTCTACTGGGGCCCCTAGGGGCATACAGCTAGAAACAGCGACAAAATCCCAAGAGTTTAGGGTCAAATCTTAAGCCGACGGACCTACTCTGACCCAAACATCAAGCGAGTATCCCCAAACCCAAACCGAATCCCTCAAGAACATGAAACCCCGAAAGCACGAAACCCATGACCTCAGAGCCTAAACGCATGCACAACTCTCAACCGCAGTCTCTGAACTCGCACAGAACCTAAACCCTAAACCGCCTAAACCCTTAACCCTTACGGAACACGAAACCCTCAAATTTGAATCCGGGCCTCGGCAAGAAGCAATCGCCTCGGCGTGGGACCTCACGGAAAGGTCTGGGAACTGATTTTGGGCCGTTTAGTAGGGTTTAGGGCGTTTGTTAGGTTTAGAGCTTAGGGGGTTTAGGGCCTTCGGGTTTTCTGCCTTGCGATGTTTCGACTTCTTTGCTGCAGCTCAGGGTTGAGGGCTGTCTGTCCGACGTACAATGCTGCCAACTGATGGTTTAGGATCTTGCACGAAAGGTTCCAACTTGGACACATCTTCAAACCATTAAAACAACGGCCCAAGATCCAAACCCGAAGAACTGGTGCACTTTATCTGGGCTGTCTTGCAAGACCTTCGAAAACCAGTATCTTTCGTTCTTGCCTGAACTCCTCCCGCTACAAACCCGGTACCCTTCTTCAGGCCCTTACATTATCTCCCAATGCCTAAGCCAGTCGTTTAGGGGCGTCTGTCGGCAAAGAAGGCCAGGGGGATGTGTTTGCGAGGATTTTACAGAGTTTCATTTGAGGGTTCACAAGGGCGTAGAAGGGCTTTTTCAGGAATCTGACAGGGCCTCATATAGGGGTCTGAATATAACTTAAGTTAAGTAATCATAGCCTTTTTTCTTGAAGCTCTTTCAAGGTGGACTAGGAGACGACCCCGAAACCCTATTCAGATGATTGAAGGCCCCTAAACCCAAAACACCAAACCCCAACACTCCTAAACCCTAAACCCTTAAAACCCTAAACCCTTAACCCCTAAACCCTAAACCCTTAAAGCCCTATAAACCCTGAACCCTTAAAACCCTAAACCCTTAAAACCCTAAACCCTGAACCCTTAAAACCCTAAACCCTTAAAACCCTCAACCCTAAACCCTTCAAGCCCTAAAGCTGCACGCCCAAAGCTCCAGAGAGCCGGGCAGGAAGGGTTGTCCTCATCGGCAACAGTGAGTACGGTGCTCCCGTTATTGTCGGTGATACCATAGGGCTCCCCACCTCAGAATTCACAGCGGAGTAAGGCGTTGAGGGGTTGAGGGTTTTAAGGGGGGTTAGGATTTAGGGGTAAGGGGTTTAGGGGTTTAGGGTTTAGGGGTTTAGGATTTAGGGTTTCGAGGTTTGGAGCTTAGAGGTTTAGGGTAACCCCACAACCCAAATCTCTAGTCCTATAGGGTCCGATAGATCAGAGAGCTCATAGACGCACACAAGGGTCCGAAGAAGAGACCCCAGACAGCCAAACCCTGAACCCCCAAACAGCTCCCTGAACTCTGAATCCAAAGACTTCACCACTTTCAGCCTCTGATCCTTGAGCTCTATTGTAGAGGCCTTAATAAAGCTAACTATACTAAAGAACCACCACAAAAATGTCTCCTTTATTACACATATCCCACTCACAAAAGTCCTACAGATCCTTGAAACAAGCCCTATAAATTGTACGACACCCCATTTGAGACTTTACGAGGCCCTCTATATCTATCTGTCTCTCCTTCTCCGTGTGTGTATATATATATATATATGTATATACATATACATATATATATATATGTATATATATATATATGTGTAGATAGATAGATAGATAGATAGATAGTGATATGACATACCCATACACACCTTTCAGATGCCTGCTTCGTCCGTTTTCCTCCGAGCCTTCACCTTTTTTTGCCAGAGAAGCCAGAGACTCCACGATGACCCTAAACCCTAAACCCTAAACCCTAAACCGTTTAGGGTTTAGGGTTTAGGGTTTAGGGTTTAGGGTTTAGGGTATACCTTCCCAGACCCCCGGGAGGATCTGGAAAGGAGATCCCCTAATTGGGGGTCCTATACTACTAAGGGTACTCTATAGAAATCCCCATGAAGGGATCTACTTTTTGGATCCTCCCGGGGGTCTGGGATAAAGTGTAATAGGACCCATACGGTTGATGATATAAATCCTGCATTGCCTTAATGACCCTAGACTATGGGAAATATGGTATATTCCTTATCATGGGAAATGCAGGTTCTATGCCATCAACCGTAGTATGATTCAAGGTATATGGGTGGTTGTCAATATTCGGATCCCTTTTTTGGTCCTTATTCTAATACGCACCTAATATTTGGGGTACCCAAAAAGGAACCCTAATTTTGACAACCACCAATATTCCTCAATTAAGGGATATGGGAGTTTCCGAAAACAGGGGACCCAAATATAGTACCCTAAATAGTAGGATCCTTACTATAAGAACCCCAGAATAAGGTACCCCTTATTTTCGGAAACTCCCAAACCCTAAACCCTTTCTAGAACCCTTATAGATCCCTTCAAAGGACCCTCTAAAGGATCCCTTTAAAGGTACCCCTAAAATCCGGAAACTCCCATATTGGAGTCTCTGGGAAGCCGCAGTCGACCCTTCGCTGGGCTCCTCACGTCTTGGCCGTGACGGAATGATGAGGATGCATTCCTTTTAGGGTAGGGCTTAGGGTTCCTTTCTGTGGTACTATAAGGGCTCCTGTAAGGGATCTATAAGGGGTTTAGCGTTTCGGGTTTTGGGGTTTAGGGCTTCGAGTGTAGGTTTAGGATTTAGGGCTTAGGGTTTAGGGATTCAGGGTTTAAGGGTCTGGCGGTTTAGGGTTTAGGGGTTTAGGGATTCCGAAGGCTTCATCGAGGATCTGCGACGGTTGCAGGGGGAATGGTACAGGCTTTCAGAGAAGTTTGCAGGAGTCCCTTTGAACTGACAAACCCCAAACCCTAAACCCTGCTAAGACCCCTGCTAAAACCTTCTAAGACCTACTGACTAAATCCGACTAAGACCGGATAAACAAAGATGTACTAAACCCTACCTAAGACCTACCTAAGACCCATTACACCCGACTAAACCCGACTAAGACCTACTAGACCTTACCTAAGACCTACCTAAGACCTACTACACCCGACTAAGACCTACTAAACCCTACCTAAGACCTACCTAAGACCTACTACACCCGACTAAACCCGACTAAGACCTACTAAACCCTACCTAAGACCTACCTAAGACCTACTACACCCGACTAAACCCGACTAGGACCTACTAAACCCTACCTAAGACCTACCTAAGACCTACTACACCCGACTAAACCCGACTAAGACCTACTAAACCCTACCTAAGACCTACTACACCCGACTAAACCCGACTAAGGCCTACTAAACCCTACCTAAGACCTACAAAACCTTACTAAGATCTACCAAACCCTACCTAGGCTCTACTAAGACCTCTTAAACCCTACCTATGACCGACCAAACCTTAAATCCTAAACCCTAAAACCCTACCTAAGACCTACTAAACCCGACTAAACCCGACCAAAACTTAAATCTCCAATTTCTCCCAGCTGCGCAGCCGGCAGGTACAACCAGCTCGGGGCCTCGGCTTCTCTGGAGGTCCCGGCGTTTTGGGGTTCCTGTAAAGGGATCCTTAAAGGGGTCTATAAGGGATGTAGTAGGGTTGGTTCTATAATGTAGGGATCTATAGGGTTTAAGGGTTCGGTTTGATTTGGGGCGTTTAGGGTTTAGGGTTTCGGTTTGTTTTTTGGGGGTTTGGGGTTTAGGGTTTGGGCTTGTTTTGGGGGGGTTTAGGGTTTAGCATTCGGGTTAAACCCTAAACCCTGAGCTCACAGTGCAGTGACTCTTGGGTTGAAGGTTCTAGACGCATGGGATTCAGGAAAGAGGTTTAGAGGGTTTGGGGTCTATAGGAGTTTGGGGCTGTGTGGAGTTTAGTGGTTTGGGATCTATGGGTTTTAGAGAAGTTCGTTTTGGGGGTTTCGGGGCCTCGGGGCCTATGGGTTTGGGAATCGTATGAGCCGCAATTCCAAGCCCCCTTTGGGTGGTTGTCAAAATTAGGGTCCCTTTTTGGGTGCCCTAAAGTGGTGCCGTATTATATTAGGGACCCAAAAAGGGACCCTAAGTTTGACACCCACCCGAATCCTAAAAACCCAACCCCAAATCCTGAACACCCAAACCCATAAACCCTAAACCCTAAACCCTAAAAGGATGCAGGGGCTCGGGCCCTCGGGTTTGGGGTGCATCTTTGGGGCTCACAGAGGGTGGGTTGCCGGAGTCTTAGTGGGTTTTGAGGTGGTTTTGTTGATTTTTTAGGGTTGAAGGGAGGCTTTAGAGTTACTTGCAGGTTCAGGGCTGAGGGTTGCGGGCTTGAGGGCCTGCGAGTACGGGCTTCACTTACCTTCAGGTTCTCTATCGTGATTCTGCATTCGTCTGGTGTTCGCTTGGAAGGGGTTCTGTGGGGCCCATAGGCCTCTGCAAGGGGGTGTTCTCGAACCCTGCTCCAGGCTTCGTGAGGCCACGGCAGAAATCCGTGCTACCGCCGGGCACCAGCGGCACCTGCTAACAAGGGCACCCCTTAGAGGATGCAAAAAAAAAAACTCCTGAAAAATCACATTGCCTTTGCCCGCCTGCCGGTAAGATAACTTGCTTGGGGCTCTAATTTTGTTGATCTCTTAAGGGTCTGTTGTCTTTGCCTAGCTTCCTGCACTCCGATAAGCCGTATATTGCTTCCGAAGTCCCTGAAACCTAGGCTGACTTCGTCACCCCTAAGCCCTAAAATCAAACCAAAACGAATCTGAGGCGCTGTGGGGCGGATAGCCGACAGCATCAGATCAAGTTTCAGTTCGTGACGTGGTTGCACAAGGGTGCTGAGGGCTTTGTTAACATTATGGGTATCTTGGCCCGGGATCTTGATTCATAATAAACGTACAAACATCCTAGTATGTATGGCGACACGGAGCTAAGGTGCTGACGACGTGGGACCTTATCCCGCCTGAGCTGGACTGAGAAAAAGCCAAAGTTTCGATCACCCTCTAAAAGCCCGCACTACAAGCCAGTCCATCTTCCTGAAAGATCAGGAGGCTGAGTGAGCAGGGGCTACACGTACCGGCATCGGGGGGTTATAGAAGTATTTGTAGGCATAGTTACCTTAGCTATGACCTGCCTGCGAGGCGGAACTAGACGGTTCAAGTACCTTCATTTTGGTTTTCCGGTCTTACGTACGTCTTGTTCGGGTTACTTGGAAGTTCATGGGGAGTTATAAGTCGGGTTATAAGTAGGGCAACCATAGTTACAACCCGTATTAGGGTACTTATAACCCCACTTACAACTACCCATGAACCTCCAAGTACCGTCTTTACGACCCACTTACTACGCAGCAGGATGCTTCAAGGACCAGCCCCAAGCTGTGGTTCAGGGAGCCGATCAGCGAAGTCGCCCTGAACTCCCGTGTCAGCGGCCTTGCTGTCCAGTGAGGAGCCTGCCAAGAAGAGATCGGGGCATAGTGTCGGGGTTTCATGAATCCTTTCCAGACCCTAAACCCTATAAACCGTGGACTCTAAGAAGAGCTAAGGGCATAATTTCGGGTTTCATGAATTCTTTACGACCCTAAACCCTAGAAACCGTGGACTCTAAGAAGAGCTAAGGGCATAATGTCGGGTTTCATGAAGTCTATAAGACGCCCAACCCGAAATCGTGGACTCTAAACCTTAGACCTAAGGGTGTTGAGAGCTGAGAGCACAGGACTTGGGGTAGGGGACTTCTGTGGTTCGCGGCTCAGGGGCGGCTCAGGGTTTGGGGCTCTTGCAAGTCTGGGCTTCGAAGTAACCAGGGAGCAAAACATCATACCTGGGCCCCAAAAATTTGTAGAAGCATGGCCTTTTTACAGGTTATGGGCCATGATGTTACCTACTTCGGGGGGGGGTCTAGGTATAAGCTTTTGCTTCATAATCGTTCCTTTAAGGAACCAGTCCGAAAACAAGCATTCAAACATGGTTCTCCAGAACCCAGACATCGGGGCTTACCTGGACGGTAAAGAACTGGCCCCCTTTTATGGGGGTTCCTTGGAGAACTAAAAAAATATTAGTAGAAGTGAAAAATATTAGCAGGCAAGATCCTCTGAAGCCCAATAAGAGCAAATACAAAATGTCCCAAAGCCCTCCCTAGGTTCCTTAGTGTTCAGGGCTCTTGCAGTTCAGGGCTTCGAGTTTGGGGATATAGGTTTGTTGGGTACAGGGCGGGTGGTTCCAGCTGTGCATCAATGATCACGATATTTAAGCAGTAAGGAGTAGAATAATAGGCGTGATAGGACAATCGAGGGACTGAGCGACAACTTCGATTCATGATCTCATAAGCGGCACCGCAGGAATGCCTGGACAAACAACCAAACAACCGTGCATATGACAAGGACAACTTGTGAATGTCAAACACGTGCCGGAAAGATGCCAAAGACTGTCCCACGTCAGTCTCCGAAAGTTCAAAAGGTTGGCACGAGAAACGATGCTGCTATTGAAACTTTTGTCAGCAGCAGCGGTAGCACCATAATCATACATATAAAAGGACTAGAAAGCGTTCAAAGGGGTCATTCGATTCGGACCCCCCACCTGCACGACATGAACATAACGGGCTGCTCCAGGTAGTTATGACTTGCACATGCCGTTGGAAGCTAGGGTCAAGGAATTGAGAGCATCAAGACTTTCGACCGGAAACCCTTGTAGGAACCGTCATAGAAAACCTTACTTAGAGGATCATGGGACTTAGTAAGTAAGGTTATGAGTACCTTAATTGGGGTTATAAGTATAGTGACCCGAGTTGAAACCCTAGTTACTAAGTCCCATGATCCTTTAAGTATCCAAGCCCTTGCAAAGGACAAGGACCAGCCCTCAAGTTCTGACTGGCCTTGCACTGGTCGTCCCAGGAAGCCCGACAAACGTTTCCGTAGCGCCTGACCGCAAAGCGCGGTCAGTGGGGATCAGGGTGTGCGGGCTGAAGCCCTCCTTCAACCATTCTAGGGTTTTTTGTTGAGTTCTCTTTGCACTGAAACTGACGTCCCAAGCCATACGCACCCTGGACCCTAAAATCCTATGCACTGAAGGTCCGAGGTAATAGTCATATACTGGCCAGAATACTAACCTACACAACTGCCATCTTCCTAAGCCCTGAAGATTTGAGGTGTTTGAGGCTTTGCGTCGGATGGCGGGCTCTATTGCGATCAGGCGAGAGAGCTTCCCTGCCACTGTGACACAAAGATCTTCGTCACCTTTAAACAACGAACCAACAAACACAATTACAAATATATTCTGGGTTGGCCTTTAAACACCCTGAAAAATATTTATATAGAGGGTCCCTTATAAACCCAAATAAGGAAAAGAACAAATGTCCCAAAATCCAACCTAGTATTCCCTAAACTCTCTAAACAGCAAGGCCTCCACGCCGGCCCTGCTTGCACGACCAGGGAAGTTAGCAAGTAATGTTAGAAGTGCCTTAGAGATTTTGTGTTTTTAACAACACCTGGTTAGAGTCCTTGTGTAACCACCAGAACAGCTCATGAAAGCAACAACCTTAGAGAACTTAAAAACCCTTCTAAGAAACCCACACAAAACCCCTTGTAAACCCCAAGATGTTGTCAGGCGAGCATGAACTATTTTGAAACTAACAGTCTGTCTTGGCCTTTAAACACCCTGAAATAGATATATATATATAATTATTTATATATATATATATATATATAGGGTCCCTTGTGAACCCAAATAAGGAAAATAACAAATGTTCCAAAATCCAACCTAGCAGTTTTTTTCTGACAAAGCCTGAGGCTCGGCTCGCCGAGTTCAGGGTGCCTTTATGCTGGGATGTTCAAACCACGGACGGACGGATCAAGGGTTGGGGCTGAGGCTTTTCGGACCCGGCATAGGGTTATCGCGTGAATGGGTATCTGCTGCCTCCGGTTGTTGCGTGACTGCACGCCTGCGCTTCATGGGAAGTTCTGGATTAACTCGGGTCGCTTCTGCCTAAGATAAGGCAAGGCTGTGCTTGCTTAATTATTTCGAGGTCTGAAGCAAATTCAGACTCCTGTACTGCAATCCCGAATGAAGTGTTCCAGGGGTGTGTTGTATCTTGTTCCGACAGCTTTGTGAACCGCACAAACTTTTTTCTGAAAAGGTCCTTCCCAGTAACAACAAAGCGCAAGCTGTACCAAAGTTTCGACACACACCCCAAAACCCCAATGTAGGAACATATATGGTCTGAAACTTGATAACAAAATTCCCTTACCCTCCCTCTATATACTTCCCAGCATTTGGATTTCGACATAGAAGCCCTCCACCTCGTGATAGACAACAGCGAAGGTCACAAGGGCGGTGATGAGAATTACAGAGCAGACAGACCTGATTAGCCGTCAGTTTGAGTTGCGTTTAGGGCTTAGGGTTTCGAATGCGTTTTAAATTGAGGGCTCGTGCTATAGAATAAGGCACCAGGGTGGGACTAGGGCTTAGGATCCAGAGCTCGGCCATCGGATTCGGATGAACAGTACGGAGTTCAAGCATACATGTCTTTTCCGGTCTCTTGCCTGAAATGCAGTGCTCGAGGTGTTGTCTTTGATGTGGCAGCCTACTAGGGTATAGCCTTTACAAGAGCGCTCAATATAGCGGCCCCACAAAATTAGAGTAGGGTTTTGGAATATATTAGTATATATATATATATATGTATGAAAATTATACCCAGGGACTGTAAGGGCATCTTGTTATTCAGTTTCCGGCCCTACTATATCCATAATTACATCGAGTGTTGGGCGTTTGGGAATTTCGGAGTCACATACTGCTCCAATATCATGGAGACAATCCTCATGGCCGCTGCGCACGGTACCAACCCGTACGAACCATACCATGCCTTTGAATAGGGGGTATCCAGGCCATGGCCAGATGAAGTATTTCAGGAGTGGAAGAGTGGTGGTGGCAATAGCCGTGAAGCATATGGAGTGTGCCTGTACTCTCCACCGCCAGCCCTACCACTGCACCATGATCATCAGCATAGGAAGACAAAGGAGGACGCCCTGTCCTCGCACAGTCGATGCCTGCTTTCTTCATGACATCAAGCAAATCTGGAAAACCATAGTTCGCCCCAAAGCCGCAGCAACATGGTGACCTTGATCATATTCTGACAAATTCATGATGGGAACCCTGAGGAATCGCATTGGTTAGTGGCACCCGAGGGTGCTTCACATTTTGCAGAGCCGGGTTCTTGGCTTCAGGAGAACTTAAAACGCTGCCTACTCGGTGCGGGCTGGTGGTTCGGAGCAAGCCTTCTGCTCCAGAAGAAGACACAAAGAACCGATCTGAGTACTACTGTTCATACGACTTCTGCTCGTGCCAGAACAATAGACGTCATGTAGATTGTCCTTTGCCTGGAAAGCACTCCTGCAGAGCCTTATCATGGACCCTACGAGCCCAGCTATCTACGTAGTGGATTACTTTTCCTTACAAGCCCTATCCTGTGTAAGCTTTATAGTAGCCATAACCCAGTAACTTACAATATAGGTATATGCATGGTCTCATGAGATAATGTCTGGGCCGATCTGGGAGAAGCACCAAAGGCCGCCAGAAAAAGCGCTCATCGCTATTCGATATGCCTCGGACGAAGTAGAGGTATACCACGACTCCTCGTATAATTTCTGGGAGATGATATTACTTAAAGGCGTTTTGGAGTCTCTGAGAACGCTAAACCCCAAAACCCCAAAGTAGCTTGGTCTTGCGGCGCTGGGATTTTGGGTGACGGATTCGGTGGTTGAAGGGTCTAGAAACGTCCAAGTTCTACAGGCGCGTATATACTTGGAGGTTCATGGGTAGTTATAAGTTGGGGTTATAAGTCCTCTAATATGGGCTATAATCATGGTTACCCTAATTATAACCCCACTTAGGACTACCCATGAACCTCCAAGTAGGGTCTTCATAGTCATGAGGAACAGATAGGGGGCTGCATAATGCAAGCCAGGTGCTTTTGAAGATAGTATACTATGGTACTGAATAACCCTATGGACCAATATTGACAGCCTTCTACAGTAATGTAGGGGCCTCCATAATTACTTATACTGCTTTAAGGCTTCCTTATTAGAATTATAGTATAATGGGCCCCAAAACCCTATTCTAATTATTAATGCCCTCTATATTATAGTGGCAGGCTGTCAACATCATTGTAAAAGCGAAGAAAGCCTCTGTGGCTCAGGTCTAGAAGCTCATTCTTGTTGTAGCCCTGGCGCATCAGTTGCCAAGATCCACTAGCACGAGGTTTGACAAATGAGCATTCAGGATCCTATAAACCCTGGATCCTTAACCTCTGAAATACTCTAACGGAACGGTTTCATGAACCCATAACTGAGAAAAGTCCAGCAGCCGCATTTCCTTACCCGACAGCCTACACAGAAATGGTAGGATTGCCTCGCATAGAATCCTACCTGTTCGGTGCCCTGATCATTTAAGTAGAGCCTGAATCCCCCAACGCTACTGCGCCCCGCAGTTACAGTTGCACCCCCTAAGCCCGAATCCCCAAAGCCCTACAATCTCTCTGTCAGCTCCTCTGGGATTGTACCGGCATTTCGGGTTTTGGGACTTAGGGGCACAGTTCCCCAACTCTATACGCCTGGAACAGGCAATACGGTGTGGGGTTTAGGATGTCCAGAGTTTGGGGACTTTGAGAAGCAGCAAAGTATCAAGCGTGTTCTCAAGGCTTCATCGCCCTTGGGGCTAACCCTGAACCTAATCATTAAAATCCTTAAATCCAACCCAAAACCCGAAAGCCCGAACCCTGAACTCTAATGACGCAACCCTCGACCCTGCAGCCCTAGAGTACACAAACCCCGCAAGCCCGTAATCCCAATCCCTGAGCCCTAAACCCATCTCTACCGTGTCGAACAGCGTTTAAGGAGCCCTGTATTCATCCTGCAATCCTGAAAACTCCATACCTCGAGGAATGCCCAAGGCCAAACATCGCCAAGAAGCCGCGCTTCTTCTAGCAAGACCTCTCAAACTATCAGGGTATAGGAGACAAACAGGGCTGGGTTGGCCTTTAAACACCCTGGAAATATTTATATATAGGGTCCCTTATAAACCCAAATAAGGAAAAATGTTCCAAAATCCAACCTAGAGGGGTTACAAGGCTTGAAGCTTCCAAAGCTCCTTCAAGGTTGAGAGACACCGTTTTTTCATCAAGGTCTGTGCAAGTCATGGGCTAAAGATGCGGCTGAGCTCTTCTTTGAGCACTTCACCCCGAACACAGATTCGACCCTAGCACGGAGCGCTGACCCATATCGTATGTCTGAGTAGTTGTCTGATACCTTTCCAGGTGAGGGTGCATGAACACCCATCCCTTTGCTTGAGCCTTCACTTGGGTATCATTTTCTACTCTTATCGCTGTACAGGACTTGGGGACTGTATGATCTACTTCAGTCGCTTTTGCTACTCGCATCGCTTTACAGGGAACTCGGTCTCGGAGCTGTTTACCCCTTATCGTTTTACGAAATTGACTGCTCTCAACTTACGGACGCATCTGCTTAAAGGGACCTATAGGGCTCCTTTAAAGGGATCTCTGGGGTTCCTATCCTATAAGGTTTTTAAGAACTGCTCACAGGGGTGCTTGTCATCCCTCAGGTTCACTTCATGTTCAGGGCAGCACTACTTGGAGGTTCATGGGTAGTTGTAAGCGTTCCTTTAGGAGTCCCTTTAAAGGGATCTTTCGGGATGCTAGAAGGGTATAGAGTTTAGGGCCTACTTGGAGGTTCATGGGTAATTATAAGTGCGGTTGTAAGTCCCATAATTTGGTTATCATTATGGTTACCCTCCTTATAATCCTACATATCTTATGACAACCCATGAGCGTCCAAGTAAAGGATACTGCAGGGCGAGTCCAGTCCGTTCGAAAGGGACTATGCCATCTAGTGCGGCGCATGCTTGGCTTCCAATGCTGCTACGACCTACCGCTGCGAGGAGGACGACGACTACTACTAGTATAGAACATGGCGATATTGATACTCTCAATAACAATACTGAGAGCAATAGTTGTAGTAGTAGTAGTAGTAGCAGTAGCAGTAGCAGTAGCAGTGGCAGTAGCAGTAGCAGTAGCAGTAGCAGTAGCAGTAGCAGTAGTAGTAGTAGTAGTAGTAGTAGTAGTAGTAGTAGTAGTAGTAGTAGTAGTAGTAGTAATACTGAGAAGAAAATCGTAATAATAATAATTCCCAGAACAATGAACAATCACAACACCAACGACACCAACAGTACCTGTAACACTATTACTGCTACCATCACGACCAAGACCCCCACTATCACCACGGATATACCACAGCCAATAACGCTAAAACTACTGCAAACCGCTTCGTCATCTCAGTTGTGGCTGTGCCTTTCGCGAGTTCCGCGGGCTCCAGCACGCCAGGCAAGTGCCTGAGCAAACGCTGAAACTAGTGACCCTTAATGGGGACCCTAGGTACATACCCTTAATCTAGCCATTATATGCTAAACCCGAAACGCCCTAAACGCTAAACGCCCCAAACCCTAAACCTAAACCTCGGCAGCTTTTGGAGGTTTGGGGCATGTTGGCACGCTTTTTCGAACGGGTTTGGCTTATAGAGAGAACATGTTGGACAACTGTCTGGTTCTTGGTGGGGAAGGGGGGAATGGGTTATAGGGACGATTATTGGGGACGCTATAGGGACGACTATAAGGATCCATTCCCCCATTCCCTACTAAGAACGAGACAGACAACGAACAACCAAAACAAAAGGCCGAGCTGTTGCACCCGGGTCCAGCGTTTCAAGCGTTTAAATAGCGGAAACCACAGGCTAAATCTTAAGACGATAACTCGAACCAAACCTCTAAACCCTGCAAACCAAACGAGCCGCCCAAAACACACTGAGCATAGAAACGAGTAGGATGCTCACAAAACCTTGTAAACCCACTCTCAAACTCATGCAACCTTCATGAAACTCTTCAGACTAGTTGCAGCGCCCTCCCTAAACCCTCAACCAGAACCTCCTAAACCTTACACCCTGATTACTTGGAGGTTCATGGGTAGTTATAAGTGGGGTTAAAAGTAGGGTAGCCATAAATACAACCCATAGTAGGGACTTATAACCCCACTTCTAACTACCCATGGCCCTCCAAGTAGGCCCTAAACCCGATACCCTTATAGAATCCCTACAGATCCCTTTAAAGGGACCCTTAAAGGGAACCCTTATAACTACCCATGAACCTCCAAGCAGGCCCTGAACCCTATACCCTTATAGAATCCCTATAGATCCCTTTAAGGGGAGCCCTGGAGGGGAACCCTTATAACTACCCCAAAACCCTAATCCATAAACCCTATAGAACCCTTAACAGAACCCGAAACCCTGTACAACCCTTAAAGGAATCCTAAACCCAGCTTATAACTACCCGATGGCTCCCTCCAAGCAATGGAAGCAAAGTATGGAACCCTTATAATGGAACCCTTAGTGGATCCCTTACTGAACCTCCGGAAGCAATGGAAGCAAAGTCCGGAAAAGGCCTCGGACTCTCGAGCAGCGCCTGCCATCTCTGAGCTTGTGAAAGGCGGGTGAGAGGACGAGGGGCCTTTCATTCAGGGTTTAGGGTTTAGGGTTTTAGGCTTTAACGGTTTAGGGTTTGGGGCTTAGGGTTCGGTAGGGTTTCGCAGGGTTTAAGGTTTACAGCTCAGGGTTTGAAAAGAGGATCAGGGTTCAGGGCCTAGGGCTTTGAGGCTGTTTATCAAGCTGAGCAGTGCGTTGTGTTTGGTTAATATTCGTTCTATGCAGCTGTGAGTGGTTGCAAAATAAGTAGTCCTGCCCACATGCCACTTTGCATCATCGGCATTGGTGGTTGTAGCACGTCAAACATTATGCGACTCGCCATCGCCATCATGGGCGGTTGTGGTGGTGGAGGTTCTGGTTTTGACGTTCTTACTCCCCCAATACGCCACAGAAATACAAGGACAAACTTTCCGGTGCCTTCTAAACTATAACAACCCCAAAACTGTATAACCTTGGGTATTGGGGATCTTAGGTTGCCTACTCAGCTACTAAGTGAAACTAAACCCTAAACTCCTAAAACCCCTAAACCCCTCCTCTTGAGCACGCCATCCTGAAAGCGAAGCTACGAGTCACGGCCGAGAGTTTTTCATCGGAGAGGAGTTCCTCGTGTCGGATCTGGTGGGCACCTCACTGGCCCAAAACCCAAGGAAACAACAGTTGAAACTTTCAGAACTGACTACCTTATAAGAACCCCGAAAGTTGAAAAGTTGGAGTTTACAGCCAATAGGGCACTGCATGGAGGGGTCAGGTCTGTTGGTGGTGGGAGATGGTTCTTGTAGGGGTACTTGGAGGATCATGGGACTTAGTAAGTAAGGTTATAAGTACCCTAATTGGGGTTGTAAGTATAGTTACCCTAATTATAACCCTAGCTACTAAGTCCCATGATCCTTTAAGTAGCAAGGTTAGAGTCCTAGGTCCTAGGCCTTCACACCATGCTCAAAGGACCCGACAACTTAGCATATGGGAGTTTCCGAGAATTAGGGGTACCTTGTTTTGGGGTCCTTATAATAATAAGGATCCTACTATTTAGAGTACTATATTAGGGTCCTCTATTTTCGGAAACTTCCATATAGGGCTATATAAGTCGTTTGCATGGAAAGCAGCTCTTGTTGGAGTATCACGTCAAACACCGTACGTATGATACTGATACTGATACTGATACTGCTTACAATGCCCCCTCTCAGATCCTCCTAGCAAACCATGATGCCTCAAAGACTACTGAACCCCCTGTAGAGCCCTACAGCTGGATATAGAACCGTTTGAAACCCTTCCCCAAACCCAATTCTCGTTTTCCACGTCAAGTAGACTCCGTCAAAACTCAGAACTCAACTCTAACCTTAGACCTTAAACCCTGAAAACCCTCAACCCTAAACAAAAACCATCTAAAGCCCAACCTATATACGATTGCATATATTATTGTTCAGTGGGGTTCCTTATTATGGTTATACCCAGGCTCCAATTTTCTCGGAAAGGCCTGGCCTGTCTGTCTTCCGAGTCCAAGTGTACTGCCTTGAAGACAGTGTTCTTGGCCTTTGCAGGGTTTCCCTGGATGTTGTGAAGCTACAGCAGCAGCATTCTTTGCCAGGCTTGGTTGTAGCGCTTTTGGGTGTTGTGGTTCGCATGAAGTGTTCGCAATTTTTCTTTGAGAATTTGTGTTTGGGGGTAGTGTACTGTTCTTGGCCGCAACCCACCCCTTATCCAACAAAAACATGAGTAGTTGTCAAAATTAGAATCCCTTTTTGGGTACCCTAAAAATTAGGTGCCGTATTATAATAAGGACTCAAAGTGGGACGCTAATTTTGACAACCACCCAAATACACAAACCCTCTGCAACCCTCGTAAGCTCCCCAGAGCTCTGCCGAAAAGAGCCAGAGCCAGAGCCAGGCCTGAAGAAGAGAACGGCCTGGAGAATCCTGCCGCGATGCTCGGATACTTGGAGGATCAGGGGCAGAGTTCATATAGGGTTCATTACAAGTACAAGCAGGGTGGAATTTAGATCGTCTGTTTATAAGTTTATAAGCAATAGCTGCCTTGAGCCTCGTTTCAGGTACTTAGAGCCTGACGGACTAAGTATCTCCTGATCCTCTACAGCGAACCCCAGAAAGTTGGAACATAGGTTTTGGATGATTCATGCTGGGATTCCACCAAAACTACTTCAATGGCAGGAGGAGCATGGTGTTCCAACTTTCTGGCTTCTACTGTACTTGGTGGGTGAGGGGCGTGCAGGCTTACTTTAAGAGCCCGGGATGCTACGTCGCTACTGCAGGGGCCTTATTTCTTGGAATAGGGCTTTGGGCAAAACCGTATAGGTAATTATTACGGCCCCTATAGTACGTTAGTGTGTTACTCAAGCTGTGTCAGGTTTGTACGGGCAGTGTAAGGGCTGCGTGGGTGGGTTTCAGAGCTCAGATTTTCAGAGTCAGGAGGGTTTCTGAACATCAGGGCGAAAAATTTGCAGACCTTTGGACCCAAACGCCGGCCTTACACATCACCCAAGTCACGATGACCCGAAACTCTCCAGTTCACTCGTTTGAAGAACCGTTTAGGGCTACAGGTGGCCCTCAAAGGACCCCTACACATCCCGTAAGGACCCCTATCCGGATCCCTGCGGTGGTACTCTCCAAAGGAACCCTACACTAGCCTTGTAGTATTCCTTCAAGAAACCCTTTAAGGAACCCTACAGTACCCTTACATAGTATCCCTGAAAGGAACCCTGTAAAGAAACCCGACAGTACCCTTATCTAGTATCCCTTAAAGGAAGAGTGGACCCACTTGGGACCTGCGCTTCGCATTGCTCCGCCCCGGCGCCCACGGCCGCAAAGGCAAGCAGTAGCCAAACGAGACCTCCGAGGGTGGGGTCTTTGGGTTTAGGGGTTCATAAAGCTAGGGGTTTATGGGGTTTCTGAGGGTTTATAGGGGTTTAGGGGCTGATGCGGGTTTCTAGAGGTTTATAGTATTATAGGGGGTTTTAGGGTTAAACGGCCTATGTAACGGTTTAGGGGTTGAGAGGTCTACGCAGTCAGCAGACAAATCCAAGCGAGGCCTGGGTCCTTAGCCGAATAGATGTGGGTGGTTGTCAAAATTGTGGTCCCTTTTCGGGTACCCTAAATACTAGGTGCCGTATTATGATAGGGACCGAAAAAGAGACCATAATTTTGACAACCACCCAGACGTACAAACGACGAAAGGTTTAGGGGTTTGGGGGTTTGGGCTTTGTGTCTTTGGTTTTTGATTATCATGGGATTTGATAAAGGCTTTTGCAGGATACTACTGCGGCATCATGGGACTGCCAGGGATCTATTGGATTGTCTAGGGTTGTAAACCGTTAGTTCTAAGGCTTTACTGTCTGGTGCTTAGTAGGGAATGGGGGAATGAACCCCTATAGTAGTCCCTATATAATCACCAATTATCCGTTCCCCCAATCCCCACTAAGCACCAGGGAGTTTATTCAACTGCGACCTCCGTATGTGGTTTTCCTGGGATATTTGAAGGCCCGCAAACTGAAGCCCTAAAACGTTAAGACTCGACACTTATCAATACTTCGATGCGCTTCGGGATTCGTATAGAAAGCTTTCACATTATGCGACAGGATGACTCACGGCGTTGGAGGATTCAAGTCGCGCTTTACTGCATCGATCGGGTTGAATATTGGTTTGTTCTTTAGAGTCTTGTGGCTTCGCCGAAAATAGGGAACCCCAATAAAGTACCCTAAATAGCAGGATCCTGTTTATAAGGACCCCAAAACAATGTACCCCTACTTTTCGGAAACTCCCGTTTGGCAACTTGGCAGTTTGCAGAATAATAGCACACTTCACCAGTGGCCCCGGTACTGAGTACCTAGACCCCCCCCAAAAGTACGTACTTTAATGGCCCACAACCTGTAAAGGGCTATTTTTCTACATACTTTGGGGGTCCAGGTAGTGATCAAGTTTGGGTTGAGGAGCATTCCCAAGCCTCCTTCAACTGAAGTGACGCACAAAGGGGATGCAAGGGACCAGAAGCGCCAAGCGCTAAGCTCCCACATCCTACCGAAGTCCATAAACTCCAAGCCTGAGGCTGCATAGGGGCCTGCCTGAATGAGTAAAATAGGGAGTTGGGGTAAGTGTACAATAGTTACAATACGGAAACCCCAAAATAGTTTAGGTAAGTCTTAAGGCCCCTATATTATAGGCGCGCCCCCCCCCTTCAAAAGCAAGTCTCAACACGTGACGCCCTGATTGGGACCCCAAACTGAACCAGGAGTCCGAAAAAAAACAACCACAGATCCGGAGACAAAAACCACACACAAAGAAAGAAAGGCCTAAAACAAAAGTATGCAGAATAATGGCCTCTTGTAGGTTTTGGGCCACTATTTTACCTACTTTTGGAGGTCTAGGAAGCCATTAAACTAGACTTAACCCGAAACTAAACCCAGAAACAGGGAAATCGAATCAGAGACCCTCCTCAAAGCACCTGAGCATTTGCTCCTGGCCCCCCAAAATAGCCCAAACTTCAAACCCCAAACCCTATAAATGGAAGGCTACAGTGCAAAAGCCCGAAAGGAAGCCTCGAAGGATCCCTACGGACACCCACTGCTCGGAGCCTCTGGCGTCGAGTCTCCCTCGGCTTTGTAGGCAGGAGTCTGCTGACCGCTCCTGCGCCGGGTCGGGCATATGGGAGTTTCGACCCCGAACTAAGGCACCCCTAACTTTCGGAAAGTCTCATATATTTTGTGCGATGTATGGGGCGTGAATAGGTGGCAAGGGGATTTGGGGGTAATACTCCATTGCAGAACAAAAATCGGGAACTGTAGGGATTTTTGTACTCGAGAAATTGCAGGGCTTACGGTTTTGCCGGGTTTATGCAGGTGGCTGTTATTTGCATTTTGGTGGTGGCGTAGGTATACCTGCGTATTGTTGGAACGGGGAGAGGGGGCGGGGTTGGTGGGGGGGGCGGCAGGCTGCGGTTTACTTAAAGGATCATGGGACTTAGAAACTAGATACTAATAACCCCAATTAAGGTACTTATAACCTTACTGACTAAGTCCCATGATCCTCCAAGTAGGGTCGAGGGTTTAGGGCGTCTGGCTCAGGAGTCTAGAAAATGCAGGGTGTGGTTGGTGGCTGTCGGGATCAGACGTTTCAGCGTAATGGTGTCCTAACTCCTAAAACCCTACAACCCTCATGTTTGTTATTTTTTGGTCGGGGGCTTGCACGAACAGGTTCTCTCCTTCCATCAGCGACTTTAGGGGAGAGCATCGCTATGATCTGCTGCAGTATACGTGTAGGATAAATCAGCCTAGCTCTTCATTCAAACAGTTTCTAAAACTCTAGCTCTCTATCTATCTGTCTATCTGTGAGCGTGTGTGTGCATATATACAGATATGCTCACCCCCCCCCCGTTGACAGACCATGCCCTGGTGATAGTGTACTCTCGTTCTGTGACTAGGCTGAGATATTGTATCTAAACACACCACACATGACGACAATCTGTAAAGCAAATCCTTTACAGTACATATACCAAGTATACTTTTGACATGCCATGTACTGAGGACGCATGGACCAGACGAGCGACACGTGAGTTATGAGTTTTGTGGTAGCATTGATATAGGATGAATATGAGTATTAATATTGGTATTAGTATTAGTATCAGCAATAGTACTAGTGTTTACTGTAAGTAAATATATATATATATATATGTATATATCGACAGTAGTAAGTATACATTAATGTTAGTGCTCATCGTCGTTTTAGTCTTAGTGTTAGTGCCAGTGTCAATGCCAGTAATAGTACCACTGCTAGTATTAGTATCAATCTTCATGTTGGGTTTAATATCAGTTAATAATGGCAGAGGTGCTAGTATTGGTCTCAAGATTAGAGTTAGTTTCGATATGTTACTATTCTGATAGTTTCGTATATCAGCAGGTTAGTCTATCAATACATTGATGTGTTCGAGAGGCAACATATTTGTATACTTGCATATTCGTAGATTTAATACTTTAGTTCAACTGATGCATGAGTAAACTAGTGGATTGCTGTATTAATATATTAGTATATTAACATACAAGTATATTCGCACATTAGTGTACTAGTATACTAGTATATGCAATATACGTGTATTGTCTAATGATTTATAATAAGTATATCACTATGTTGTCATATTAGTACACTAACCTGCCATGTCGGTATACTTGCATATTACAGTAGTCGTATACTAGTATAGTAGCATACTAGTATAATAGCATACTGGTATAGTATATTCACACATTAACAAGTAGTGTATTGTTACATTGGTATATGGGTATATGCTTGTCCTAAAACATCAGTACATGAATGCATTGATACATATCCTCAAAAATGATAATGGTATGTGTTCTGGTGTGCATTAGCATATACACGTGTCTTTTGTCATGGTATTAGCCTTCACATCAATATGAATATGACTATTGGTATTCGTAGGAGTATTAATGTTAATATTCGTGTTAGGATTACCCGTAGTCGCATTAGCCTTAGTATAAGTGTTAATAATGGTATTAATACTGGCATTATCTTGAATATTCAACAAGTTATCAATGTCAGTATTAGTATTGGTGACAGCATTACTGTTAACAGCATAAGAGTATACGCAGTAGTATCCGTAGGAGTATCAATACTTATGTAAATCTTGGTGTTAGTATAAACAGTGTGATTGGTATGAGTAATAGTGCTAGTGCTAGTGCTAATATTAAAATGAGGTTATGTATTTGCATGAGCGTTTGTCTTATATTAGTATTACTCCTGATTACATGAAAATACTAACAGATAAATACATGCATGAGCTAATGTGTTTGTACGTTAATATAGTGGTATGTATATTTATGTACATTGGTATATGCAGGTGTGTATTAGTATTGGTATGAAAATACACTACTACCAATATGGGCATAATTATTGATATGCGTAGGAGTATGAACGTCAGTATTAATCATTATTAGTATTTGTATGGAGCCTATTCGTATTGGCTTAAAAAAGTGTAAATATTAGCGTTAATGCTGGTATTAGCTTGGGCAGTCAGCAAATGATCAATGTCAGTATTAGTATTGGTAATAGTATTCGTAGGAGTACCATTGAAAAAATATATATATATATATATAAACACTGACAATCGTCTAAACAGACCTTGCCCTTGCAAGTGAGTCGTAGCGCATGGTCTGTCATCCGATGGGTCACAATCAGCCCATTGAAAATCAGTTCCAAAATTTCCAAAATTTCAGAAGTTTCAGAAATTTCCGAAATTTCCAAAATTTCCAAAATCTCCAAAATTTCCAGATTTCCGAAATTTCCAAAATTCTCTCCCCTAACTTTCCGGATTTCCAAAATTTCCAACATTTCCGAAATTTCCAAAACTTCCAAAATTTCCAAAACGGCCCGACCTATAGTCGACAGGATTTTTCCAAAACATAAGGGCGGACTTTTTGGAAATTTTGGAAAATTTGGAAAGCTAGGGGAGAGAATTTTGGAAATTTTGGAACTGAGTTTTGAAATCTGAGTGCCCCCTCCCCCCGATCACAGACCATGCACTACGACTGAGTTGAAAGGGCATGGTCTGTCAACGGGGGGGGGGGGGGGGGGGACCATATATATATATATATATATGTATATGTATATATATATAGATATATATATATATATATGAGTAGTTATCATACACATACATGGCGTAAGTGCTTATACATATACATATACATACATACCTATACATATAGACATGTTTATATACAACTTAACAATCTGTGCATCAAAACTTTTAAAACTACAACTTCTAAGCAATCCTCCATTTATTTTTGTACTTTCTTTCACATGAACAGCGGCAGTCTGTTACAACATCCACAGGTTCGCTATCGCAACTATCAATGACGGTAATGGCAACAAAAAAAGCAGACGCACATCGAAAGACACTAACCAAAGGGAACTGCATCCCGGTGTAGCGACCTCAGCATGATCAACCGTGCTATCACGAGGAACCTTAGACGGCTTCAATATCCCTGACAGGGACCTTTTTTTAATGGCCTAATAAGGCGTGTTTGAGGAAGTGGCGTCAGTGTAGTCCCTTAGACCTCTCCCCCTCATCTCGCAGAAATTTCGGCAGAAGGCAAAGGTCGCAAGTTCTCAACGGGAACCCTGAACGGGACTGCACAAAGCTTGCAGTGCGGCAGGCTCTCCTTCTTGAGATATGCACAAGAGGCGTGTTTTGCCGCCTCATGCATTGCCTCAGTCTTTCGTAGCCAGACGAAACACCAAGCCCCACAGACTAAATACTGAAGGATCCAAGCCGCCGGAGCGATCAGGTGCGCAACTTGCCCTGTCGGCCCTATCCCCACCGGGCTGCAGGTACCTAAATAGTAGGTTACTATAACCATACATCATGTACCCCAGCAACCCGTGTGTTTGGGAAACTGGAGCCCCAGGGTATCGAACACTTCCATCAACGTGGACGACCCTTTTCTAGGCCGCTCCAAGCCCCCGGGGCTTGGGCTTGGAGGCTTCTCGGGTTTAGACTACTTGGAGGATCATGGGACTTAGTAGTTCCTCTAAGAGTACTATACTTAGTAAGTAAGGTTATAAGTACCTTTATTGGGGTTATATGTATAGTTACCCTAACTATAACCTTAGTTACTAAGTTCCATTCCATGATCCTTTAAGTAGGAGCAGGTGCAGGGCTGAGTGACTCAGTGGCATGTCGGCTTTGGTTTAGGGGGTGTCCTTTGTAGAGTGTTGCATGCGGATGGAGAAGTTCAGTGCTCGGAGACGGAGAACTCGGCCCGGGTGGAGTTCAATTAACTGGGTTGGCCTTTAAACACCCTGAAAAATACTTATATATAGGGTCCCTTATAAACCCAAATAAGGAAAATAAAAAATGTCCCAAAATCCAACCTAGTTAAGAACTATCTTTGGGCGTTAAGGCTGAAGGCTCAAGCGTCTTGAGGTTTCGGTGCTAATTAAGTCCTAAACCCTACACTGTTGGGCTATCTGGCAGCTTATAGAGTAGGATAGGACTTTCGCGATGCAGACTTTGCAGGCCGAGCCGAAAGCTTGAATCTTGAGCAGGGGTACAGCAATCCCTGAAAGGATAAGACATCCGGTAGCTACATGTGTATATATATATATATATATATATATTTATACACACCTAGCAACTGTCCATATCCACATATCCACAGTTGTGGTACCTGTGACCCTTTGTGCAAAAATTGATTCAAACAGAAAGAACTTCAAAACTGTGCAAAACCCTGCCTCCGCTGGTCGGCTTTACGTTATTGCATGCAGCCAAGCAGCGGTACGACTACGAAGTCCCCTTCAGAGGATAAAGTTCCTGCGCGTGGGCTTTGGCTATAGGGGCTTTACCCAAAGGCCCCATATAGTAGTTCCGTTTTGGGATTACCTTACAGGCTTCCAGATATGACTCCCAGAAATGAACTACTATGGGGCCTATGGGTAACAACTAGTATCAGCAGCGGGATTTTGACCTTGGGTAGGATATGCATTCTGTCCATTTGGATGAGCTGTTGTGGCTCACGCTGACCCGCCTACCTCCCCTCCCCATTTGTCAACCCCAAGAATACATTTCTGGCCTCTTCACAGAATCCGCTGTCGTATGTATCCTTTGGGGTAAAATCTTAAGTTAAAGGTTGAGGGTTACTGAAGAGGGACGGCCATCAAAAGGTCCCAACTGCTCGACGAAGGCCTTCGTCGGGAACTCAGACTTGTGATTTGAGAGTTTCCGAGAATTGAGGGTGCCTTATATTTCGTGGTCCTTATAATAAGGATCCTACTATTGAGGGTTTTGGGGTTTTGGGGAAGCCCTAAACCCTAAACTGCCCTAAACCCTACTTTCGGAAACTCCCACTTCAGGCTATGCGAAGTATATATGAGTATGTTAATAGTCTGCATGCTATGTGTTCAATATAATATACACTCACACATACATATCTGCATGTATATAGCTATATGCTGCCTGACTGATTGATGGACGAACTTACCGCAAAACATGCGTCCATCACAGTTTCAATTACTGGCGATTCCTCGGTATCTGGGTCTCATTGCCAACACCATGATGCCATCACTTCAAGAAGAACGGACCAACAAACAGCCAACAACCTGCTTGTCTGGAACACACAAAAGCGAAAAGCTTGAAGACTCAAAGCCGTGCACGGCTTGAAGCTTTGTGCTTTCTATTGCGTTTGGCTCACTCACTCACTCAGTCGCGTGCGCGCACCCACGCACTCGTTCCCTCACTCGCTCACCCGCTCACTCACTGCCTCGCTCCTGAACTTAGTCGTTCACTAACGCACTCACTCACTAACTCTGATTCATAGTGATTCAAACCATAGATTGCCATAGATAAACCATTAAAACCGAGCGGCATTTTCATTCGGGAATCCAGCACAGGATAACCTCCCCAAGGCTATCCCTATAATCTAGGGACCATAGCCAATCAGCTTAAAATCCGTCTGGAGGTGCAACTACAGTTGTGCTATAGATTGTAGCATCAGACCCACATGGGTGGTTGTCAACATTAAGGTCCCTTTTTGGGTACCCTAAATTCTAGGTGCCGTACTATATTAGGGACCCAAAAAGGGACCAACCACCCATATGATTACCGCAGCTGACCGCCCAACCCTGCAAAGATGGCTAGTTCCCAGGGGTCCTGAGAGTTCCTAGCCCGGAATCCTCAATGCTGAAAGTCAGAAATTACATAACACAAGAGCGCGCACACACACACACACACACAAAATAAAACTCGAAACATCGGAACGAGTAAGCACAAACCATGCCTCTCTTTCTCACACACATCCTGCGAACTAGCGCGACAAAAACAAAGTGCAAACAAAACCTTGAACTTGAACCCAAAGCCCCCAATGCTAAACGCAATACAATCCCAAGAAAGCTTGTCCAGCCATCTGACCCCCAAGAAAACCCTGTAAGGCCCGGAGCCCTGCATTTCTGAAGAGCGCACTCGCAGGCAACCAGGTGGTCCGACTGCCAGCAGCGGAAATGCGCGAGTCCTGCACCCGCCACCCAAATTGCCAAAGGGGTATAAGCGGCATCAGGCATGGGAGTCTTTTTTCTGGGGTGGCTGTGGGTTTATCGGGCTTCGTTACGGTTCAGGCTTGACCTTCAAGAAGGCTTCCTTTCAGGGTTCCTGTAAGAAGGATACACAAAGGGTTCAGGTTTAGGGTACAAGGGGGTACCTACATGGTATAGACTTTTGCCTGAAAGCGCTTGCTAGGGCGATCGAGGTATATACTATATACCATAGGCACATGAAGCCTTAGGGCATGGCTCAAGATTGAGGATCTGGCTTTAGGGTTGGTGGGCGGGCCACAATGAGGAGCAAATCCACAGAAGTTGCGTGACTGGTGACGAAACTGGGCTCTTCGGGATATCGAGTTTCGCTTTTGTTGGTGGGGTTTCGCACGAACCGGAACTCGCATTAACCCGATACACCTTAAGAGGCTGAAGTTGCCAAAGTTCGCAGAAGCCTAAACCCAGGGCCGGCCCCGTACACCCTCTGTTCAACCCCTTCGACTCAGCTTAGTGATGCTCATGAAAATCATATTACGGGAGATCATAGTAAGATACGCGACGTCGACTTCAAGCAATGGTGATTCATTCACAGCCTACCAACCCAATAACATGCTTATGAAGCCTTGTGAAAGTCTAGTATCCCTTACAATACCCTCGCAACACCATATACTTACAAAACCATATAGAAGTCTATGAAGCTCTTCGACGACCCTGATACAATCATATTCCAGCCTTGCATAAAGCTATGCACACAATCCTCTGTCTGTATGGCCGATAGAGGACTCCAGCACACCTACAATCCCGAAATCAACAAGGGAAGCGTGTGCTTATGGGGACTTATAAAATTTGTACACAGAATTTTCTGTCTGGCAGGGTTCGACTTGTCAACTAGCGTTGTGTAGGTTTCACTCTGGACGCGCAGCTCTAACTCAGCCCCAAATCCGACAAAATCCGTTCTCGAAGAGTATAAGCCACTACAACCTCATGAAACTTTGTAAAGATCCCGTTGACACCCTCAAGCATAAACCCTGAGGCACTGGCAAGGCATGCAGAGATCTGCAGACCTGTGTCAAGATTGGGTGCAGCTCTACTGAAATCGTCAAAGTGGCACAGAGCGTTGCTTCAAATTGAGCTGAAGAGTTGTTGTGGCGATTTGGGGCTCCAGACGTTTATCAGTATCAGGCGGAAGCGCTAGGTTCGCCGGTCGTTCTGTGGCTGTACCTTAGACTGGTACGCCGTGGCGTCATGTCATATTTCAATCAATCCAGGGTTGTCTCTCGAGCTATACGACAATAATGTGCTACTCAGGGGGTGCTACGCAACTTCGAGTGAACAGGGTCCCTTTCCTAGGGCTCCTGCGAATGAGAATGCGACGAGGTAAGGGTTTGTCGCTACGGGGGGGCGGGCGGCTGGTTCTGACTGAGTAAGCTGAGAATCGGGTTCGCAGCCCGCTGTGCCTCTTCAATTCAAGGACCAGGGAACTCAGTGCTGAGTTGTAGGAACCTAGCCGTAAACCCTTGTACTTAGAAGCTCATTTACAAAGCCCCAAGTCCTCCAAGCAGGGCTCAAGTTCTAATGTTAAATGCCTTGAGGTCCGAGTTGGGGCAAAGATGGGCCTAGAGTGATGTACATTTCTGGAAATGGTCGAAGATGCTGTCGAATATCCGAACGATCTCCTGGTCACTCAGAACTCCTTGAGTGGTGTCTATAGAGTTTACGGGGTGTTATGCAAAAGTTCTACATCGTGAGATCTTAGTCTAAGGCAGCCTAAATAAGTAGCCCGTCATTGTCATTGGTGAAGCATGACTATTTCGGCTACTGCTGCTGCTACTGCCATGATTATTGTTGTTTTTGCTAGTATCAAATTATGCTAGTCGTTAGAGCAGTACATCTAATCATAACGTTTCACCAGTCACAATGACAGGACCAGGACTGTTTCTGAAACCTTGCACACAAGTTACTCGACACACAGTAGTGCATACTGTTTACTTTGCAAAGCAGTGATAATGACTGTGCTGCAAAACTCGGACTCACGATACACCCGAAACCACACATCCAACGAGAAACGAAACAAACCCCATGCCTCAAGCCCAAAACCGAGAAAGCAAATCTTAAACCACACATCCCAACTCCCCAAACCCCCGAAATTCCAAACCTGTCTAAACCCCCTAGAATGCTA